GGAGATCCCTCAGGCAGAGCGTTACCAGGAGGCACCACCCACCGTTGCCAACAATACTGGGCCACATGCTGCCAGCTGCTTTGGGGCCAAGAAGGGTAAAGGTGAGTCTTGGTTGCTTTTCCTTGCTCTTTGATATGGAATGGGAGAAGGAAGGAACTCTTTTTAGCTTTAGATTCAAAAGACTTGCCAAACAATCTGCCTGGCCAGGGATGTCCTTTTGCTCTGCTCCTGCTTCCCTTGTGTGGTGGTGGTGTGGTGTCAGGATCAGTGACTGGGGCGGTGATAGATGAGACCTCAACTAATCCGGGGCCTTCTCTCCCATTCCTCCCTTGTGTTTCCTATGTTTTTCTTCCCCTCCATCCCCTTTCTTGCTTGTGTGCCCGTGATCTTGTTGACATCTTTCTCCTACAATTCTTTCTTCAATCTCTACTCTGCTTTCCACCTTGGGTGACACAATGAAGATGAGTGGTTCTCCAGAGGTGAGTGGCATCTTTTAAGGCACTTGTCTAATTCTAATATGCATGCTTTGGTTTTACCTTCCCTAGTGTTTCCTTGTCTAACCTTTCCTTGGATGCATGTAGGAAAATTGAGTAGAAGACCATTGAAACAAGTGTAGCTCTTCCTGAGCCAGTCGCTCAAGGCATGCTATTTATAGGCAGCTGTCCCTATTGTCAGGACAAAGAATGGTAACAGCCGTAGTGATTGTCCTGATCTTACCTGTCTGCTGTCTTGTTTCGCTTAGTCCCCAGCTGTGAGAAGCTGGGACCTTGAGTTTTCTTTGACCCTTGTAATATATTTGATTCAAAGAATCTGACCTAAGAATTGGAAAATTTTTCTAAGCTAGAGTCATTCCGTTCTTAAACTTTTACCCCTTTTCTACTTTTTTAATTTTCAAAGGGAAAAAACCAACAGAGGATCCAGCAAATGATGCTGTGGACTTCCCTAAAAGAACCACTCCTGCTCGAGGTACGTTACCCTCTAGTTTCCCAAGAACACAATCCATGAGTATAGTAAACTAACAGCAGGTTATGTAGCCAGTATGTTCACGATTATACTTCTCTGTATGGATTTAAAATGATGAGGAAACTGTTAAGAAATGTTCTACTGACTTGTTGTTAGGTGTCATCAAGTCTGGTACAACTCGTAGCAACCGTATAAACCAAAGCTCTAAAAACCCTGTTCTGTTCTGTGCTATCCTCACACTTCCTACACACAAGAGCCTGTCACCGTGTCAAACCATCTGGTTGAGGTCTTCCTCTCCTTCACCAACCCTACACCCTTCCCAGCCCCTCCCAGCAACATACCCAAATTCTTGTTTCCAAAGAGCACTCCAGCTGCACTCTCTCCAAGATTTTTCTGTTGGTTCTCTTGGCGGTCCATGGGATGTTCAGTTCTCTTCTCCAACAACACAGCTCAAAGGTGTCTGTTCTTTTTCTTTTATCTTTATTTGTTGTCCAGGTCTTGGATACATAGCAAGTAATTGAAAAGACTATGGCCAGAATCAAATGAACCTTAATCCTCAAACTGACATCTATTAATTTACAAGGGACTAATTAGTAACTTAGAAAAGCTGCTTGTTAGGCATCTCTTTAAGTTTCCTGATGATCAGATCATGATATGATTAAATTCCCAATGGTTGACCACACTAATGGGCATATGAGTAGGGCTTTCTTCTGTTGTACTGGGGTTGTGAGGAGTCAGAATCGACTCACTGGCACCTGACACAAGAAGCCACATAGAACCTGCTCATTTGAACTAAGGACTCTACAGTGAGCTCAATAAACCCTCTTTAAGTGTCCGTGATCAAGCCAAGGCAAAAGTAAGTTGAGCGAGAAGAGAGGCAAAGAAGTAGAGGATTCCTATGATGAATGGCGATTTCTTATTCTGTAACTGTGGATTATTAATTCTTAAAATATGGATGCAGACTTCTGAATTTGCATTTGAGTGGAGACTTTAGAAAGCCTAGTGGTATGTTTAAGGATTAAGGTGTGTTTGATTCAGGCCATAGTCTTTCCAATCACTTGCTTTGCATCTGAGAGCTGGACAATGAATAAGGATGACAGAAGAATTGATGCCTTTGAGTTGTGGTGTTGAAGACGAGTGCTGAACAGCACATGCACTACCAAAAGATCAAATAAATATGTCTTGGAAAGGGTGCAGCCAGAGTGCTCTTTGGAGGCAAGGATGATGAGGCTTCATCTCACATTTTGCAGGCATGTTCCTAGGAGGGGCTATTCCTCAGAGAGGGATGTGATGCTTGGAAAGGTGGAGGGTAAGCGAAGGAGAGAAAGACCCTCAAACAGGTGGATTGACACGGTGACTGCTGCAGTGGGCTCTAGTGTATCAGGAGGTGTGAGGATGGCGCAGGATAGAACAGAGTTTTGATCTCTGGTTCATAGGGTTGGTACGGGTCGCACTTGACTTGACAACCCTTAACAGCAACAGTATGGATTGAAACTTGTCAATTAAGAATACTTAGTCAAAGTCTGTTCTGTAGGCGCTGATTAATCTCATCTACCTTCTTGTCCTTTCTGTTTAGGCTACGAGCTCTTGTTTCAACCAGAGGTAGTTCGGATATACATTTCACTCCTCAGGGAAAGCAAGACTCCTGCCATCCTAGAAGCCTCGGCTGGAGCTATCCAGAACTTGTGTGCTGGACGCTGGACTGTGAGTTCCTTTTATGAAATGGCTTTGAAAGGGGGAGATTTTAGGTCCCCAGTTTTCTGCCATTTATAATCTGTTCCACGTCTTTTCATGTGGCCCTCCTAGTATGGTCGATATATCCGTTCAGCTCTACGTCAGGAGAAGGCTCTCTCTGCCATAGCTGATCTCCTGACCAATGAACATGAGAGAGTAGTGAAAGCTGCATCGGGAGCACTGAGAAATCTGGCTGTGGACGCTCGCAACAAAGAACTGATCGGTAAGGAATTGAGTGAATCTTAACCATTCCAGTAGGTCCTTAATGATTCCTTTATTGCAATGGCTTCTTGACGGAATCCTCCATAGTTTCTGAAGCCAAGGACTGAAGAGGGCTACAGTTTATGGGGGAAAAAAATAGCTCCACAAAGACAGATGAATAGTGTAATTATTTATTGAGCTTAATCCTGGGTGGTACACAAGACTAACCTGCTTGGCTGCTGAGAACGTGGTGGTTACCATGAACCCAGAGGCACTTGGAACAAAAGACCTTGGCTTTTTTGATAGAATTGCTCTATAGGGGAATTAGGTTACTTCATAGGGAGCAGTAACTGTATTCTTCTTATATAATTAATGTAGTTAAACTCCCCTCTGACACATTCTCATGACCTGCTCGGCTTGTCAGCCCTTTACATGCTTTTATTCTCTTACTGCCACAGGTAAACATGCTATTCCTAACTTGGTAAAGAATCTACCAGGAGGGCAGCAGAGCCCTTCCCGGAATTTCTCGGAGGATACTGTGGTCTCTATTTT